GGCCCACATCTGGGGTACACAGCAACTCATATGTGTTTATGTGTTGGCTTCAGAGTTCGTCTAAAAACTAAAACGGGTTTTGGAGACCCCGAAAGCCAGAGATCCCGAAAGTCTCCCCAAGGCCAAAGACCTCGAAACCGCCGTTGCAACCCAAGCAACTCGGAGTTGCAGGGACTCAGACGCACAAACCCCCGCATGAAGGCGGCAACATGAGCCAGGTCTGGGTCCTTGGAATGTTGTGCTGTCTTTGCAGGACCCCTGGAAAATGCGCCGGAATCCATGGGCAGCCCCACGCAAGTTCGCGTGCATCCCAACTTGTCCCTGGTCCAGAGATACCTCCCACTTTTGGTCATGGCAATCACTTTCTTCTGGGAACCTTGCTGCCATTGCTATGGCCCATTGTTTGAGTCGATCCGGTGATTCTGGTCTCCACCGAGTCGGCGAGACAGCCTATGGGGAATGGGGCCCTTTTTGTTGGCGTGCGCTGTGCGCTTGTCGCAGAATTTCTCTGCACCAAGTGTGTTTCACCTGAGCCAAGAAATCCTCAAGTGAAGGACGTTCACCAGTGAGCTCACTACCCCAAAATTGGGCGCTCGCCTCATTTGTGCAGTATGCGTCCCAGCACCGCCACGGCTTGAAGGTCAGCAAAGAATGAATGCTTGGTTGGCTGCCACCTACCGCAAACAGGACCTTAACAAAGCTGCTAAGCAGACATTAGTGCAAGCATGCAACCAGTAGAGTGACAGCCCACTGTCCTCGTCACTCATTCTACCCAGCGCTGGGTCTGAGTGCGGGTCCTCGGATCCGACCACTTGTGAATCTCCGTTCGGAACCTCCTGTGCTGGGGGAAGATGCAATATAGATACATATATAGGGCCCTCTGATAAGATGGCATGGGTGCCTCCTTCCCCCCAACGCATGGCGCAAAGGCAACGCTTGAAATTCCTACCGGTAGCTTGATGACCAACGCCAAAGTCGCACAAGCGCCTCCCATTTTGACAACCCATCTGGAGTTGATTTTACCACGTGGCGAGCTCGCTATGGTGCAGAACCCACGTGCTCCGAGCGCGCAACCATCCCATATCTCTTCGTCGTGTTGGAACACTAGGTTTCTTTCTTCTAAATAATGCATTTAAAGATTCAAAGGGGACCAAACTGATTCACCAGGCTGACAGCCGAAAGGGACACTCATGCCACGGTTGGTGGCTTTGGGATACCCGCCCACGCTTCCCCAACCAAAGAAGATGCTGAAAAAACACAAAGGAGGGTTGAGGCCGGCTTGGAATGAGACCATTCCCTGTGGGGCGGTTGAATGGACCTCATGTGTCTCATGAGGCTCATGTCCAAGCGCAGCTTTAAAAAACCCTATGTAGGAACTGGCCCCTTAGAGCGAACGTGTTGAGGGGTTCTCAAACTTGCTTTTGGGCCCTGAATGTCTTGACAACAACAATTTAGATGAACGCCACTGCGGAAGCTACTCTCATGGACTCAGTGAATTCTGGGGAGCTTGTAAAGAAGTTACTGTTGGAAACTTATGAGTGTCTCTGGGCTAGGAGAAGCACTCCATTGTGGCTGAGGGCTTGCTAACTTGCCCGAACACCCAATAACTGGATTAAAGTGAATACTACCGGCACGATTCTTGAATCTGAAAGACGCATTGGATCTTCCAAATAAAGGACCTGCCGCATGGCTTTCACTCGTTTCGCCCTCAGGCGAGCTCGAAATTCAGGAAACAGGCTGTTAAACAGGGGAGGCTGGAAAATCGAAGTTCCGATTTGTTTGCGGCTTCCTTTTGGGGAACACGGCCACTGTTTGGGCAATTTGGCCAAAGGGCATGTCCCAAAGTGAGGCCCTCCGATTTCCGCCAGGCCGCCCCAGAGACGGAGGCCTTGCGGCGCAGCAGGACGGCCTCAGGGACTCGGAGCTTGGTTGGCTCGTGCCGGTGAGGCCTCACTAAGTGAAAAGACAAGAAACTCGGACCCTCTGTTTGGGGGGCAACCGGCAAAGGTACAGGGACGCATAGGGACGCTAAGACCAGTGACCCTTGCCGGATTTCGCGTCCAATGGCCCCAATTCACAAAAATATCGGACGGCAACCTCGAAATGCCCACTTTAAGGAACCAAGATTTGGGAGACCCAACTAACCTTTGGGTGATTGGGTGTTCCCAAATGAGCTCTCTTTGCGGAGTCGGAAGAGGGTCAAATACAGTGAGGGTTTCTTCAATCAATTCCAATGTCACCGTTCGACTTGGATTTGCCTACGAAATGGGAGAGGCTACGGGTTTCCCGTTAGCTTCTACAAACAGCCTGTGTGCCATGGGAAAAAACTGATGCGGATCACGGTCATGGTTACCGGCTCTCAGTAACCTGCATTGGGCCCCTCGCGGCTTTTCCCCAATTTTCAATGTGACGTTATTTTTTCCTTAAAATGGACCGTCAAAATGGCTGCTTTCCTTTTTCTCCCCCGGAAACCTCACCAATGGCTTCCCCCCAAGAGAGACACACCCACTTTGGCAGGGTTGCCGCAGCTTGGGCCCAGGCACTCAGCAAAGAGTGGGCCCTGGGGTCCGGCAAAGCCTGTGGCCCATGGCGTTGCCTCTAGGGCTTGCTAGGCCCTAAACAGCTTTTCCCTCTGCTAAAACAACCCACCCACAACAATGCAAATACCTTTTCTCGGTTGCTTCCTGCTCCCCTGCTGAAAGCTTAACTTTTCGTGGTTTAATGGAAAACCCATTAGTTAGTTGGCAAAAAGTCAACGTCCTAACATGCAAGCAAGATGCACCAAAGTTTTGCAAGGCTCCAAGATGTGCCCAGACTAGTTAACCCGGAGGACCGTACCAATCTGGTGGATGTGGGAATGGAGAAATTGTTAAGGACGAGTTGGCACAAAGCTTAAAAACAACTAACCAGCCTGGAAATCGAGGGAGATGTCGTGAGTTGTCTCTGTGCGAATGCTTCCCTTGGCATTTCCGTCTTCCACCAATCTAGCCTGATCGAAATCCGCAATCCGCTTAATCCGTGTTTTGGATTGTAATTTTCCGAATCCGTACTCCGCGCTGCAAACTGCGGGTCCAAACCCTATGTTGGAGCATGGGCAATCCATGCAAATTGTCACTCAAGGTCTGGCAAGCATATTTACTGATAGTCATTGGGGGGCTGGGGAGGAGGGGGGGATCCCAAATAAGCCCTTATTCAGCGCTTAACAAGGTGTTTTTTGGGTTTCCTCCCTTCCCTTCCATCCCCCCCAGTTCCCATGAAAAGTTCACACCAGCCACCCCTTAAGATGCACCCACAATTCCTCACTGCGAAGCCAGGGGTTCGTTCCACTGAGGTAGCTCCATAGCTCCCTCCTTTGAGAGGGGAAGGTCAAGGATGCCCTTAACAAAACCCTCAGTGCCTTCTTCTTCGTGGGGATTGTCCCCTTCCAGGGGGACCTCCCTCAGCAAAAGCGGGTGTACTTTTACATATATATATATAGTATAATATATATATATATAGTATAATATATATATATATGTGTATATCTCAGAGAAGGGGTTCTCATTGAATTCTCGTCAAACGTTTCTGGATCGGGGGGTCCGAATGTCTCTCCCCACTATGGGCTGGTTCAAAGTCAATCTGGCACACTTCCCGTGTCCAAACCTCGGAAATCTGCATGAAAAAAAAGGAATCTGACCAGCGCAAGTAAGATGTAGCGATGGCACCATGTCCCATTTGGACATGGTGCCCTGGTCTACAACAAATTGTTTAGATGCAGGTGAATATATAATTCGTCTCTGCAAGAACGCTAGGTTTTTTTGTTTAACCAATGCATACTTGAAGCTCCCGAATGCTCCACACCCCATCATGTTTGGCCGGTTAAAATGCCAAGCACCGAACATACCTGGTTCAAGCACTGGGAAAGCTCCCTGCTGCCCGGGCACGAGGAAATTCAAGAAGGACAAAGCTGTCACCATGAGAATGCTCAGACCTCAAGCCAATCGCACGCGAGAGACTGGCCGCTCTGCGACTAATTCTCCACATGCATGTTTCCAACTGATGTGCGACACAAAACGGGTTGTGCTGTTTGTTAGTCTTTTCCCTTTTTCTTTTTTTTTGGGGGGGAGAGCCCTTTTTGGATTGTTTTCAAGGGAGACCAAACGGAAATCACCAATGCTGGGGCATCAGGCATTTCGAGACAAACCCATAGGATGGCAAAGCGCAGGTTGTTTCTTGCTGCTTCGTCTTGGCTCAAGCTAGCACACCCGCCTTCCGCAGTCCTGTCCTTTAATAAAGCACTCACCCCACGCGTTTGGGGCACGCTGGGCTCAAGCTGGAAAACGTGCCGGCTGGAGGGGCCCGCCTTGGGCTGGCCCTGACGACCCTAAGTAGTTTGAGGTTGTCCCGCGTTTTCACGACCCACCTGTGGTTTTGCACCTCCATTTGCCTCTGAGCGTATGATTGACCCTAATTAGGTTCCAACAACGGGGTTCTTGGATGCCATACACATGCTTATTGTTTGGTGCAAGCCTTCTATTTGTTAGAATCATCAAGCGGGTCCCCTGACTATGGGTGCAAAGCCCCCAACTCTCAACCAAAAACACGGCCGCAACATCGCCTTGGGCGTGCGTGGGCCAAGTCTTTGGCAAGTACGGAGGCGCAGCTCGTGAGAGACCCACGGCAAGCCTTGGTAATCACTTTGTCCTGCCAGGGTCCGTCCTGCCAGGGTCCCCAGTTGTTCAGTGACCCTGGCAGAAAAGGAATCGAGGGTTGACTATTTGTAGCGGGGAAGCCATCAAGCAAAAAGGGGACGAGGGTGCCACTGAACAACTGGGGGTCGGTCTGGGCCGTGCTGGCGCAAGCTTCAGACCCCTCAGCCACCATTGTGAAAACACAGCTCGGACAACCACGCGCTTTTGCGTTTACAACTCCAATCTTTTGAGGCGGGCAATTGGTGCACATCTGTCTGCCTGCATCCGTGCCCAAAGCATCTCATCCCATCTCCCGAAGAAGGCAACGCGAGCCCCACATGCAATCCTGATTCCACTCACAACAGAGCAACTGAAATGCGCCAACAAGCCACGAGCTGACAAAGGGTTTTCACTCGAGTCACTCCAGTCCTGCCATACGGGGAGTTCTTCCCACATTTCGTCAGTACTATGTTCTCCGGCGGCTGCATGCCCTTGATTCCACCTGCTCCGGTGGGGAAAGAAAACAGCAGCTGGAAGAAAAAAAACAGGGCCAGGGGCTTAAACAGCCTTGGGGGAACCCGGACCATGAGAGGCCGAAAGACTCGCTGTATCTCCCAAGTTGACCCTATCTCCAGAAATCTCTGAACCGTTGGACTCAAATCCTTCAACCGGATCTTGAATTTGGATGTGGAGTCAAGCTCGGTGGTTTCCCTTTGGTTTTCATTGAGACCACCTTGAAGGGGCTAGCATAAAGAAAACACTCCCAAAGTAGTTGGCACTTCAACACTCTACAGCCCTTTCCGCATCTTGCCATTCCACGGCTGTGCCTTTCCTCAAGCCCGAAACAGCAGCACATGGAACAAGAAAGTAGCTTCTTTCCGGCCGGCTTCGCTGCGCAGATCATGCCTGGAGATTGCCTCTGAATCAGCACGCTTGCCAGCGCTGAAGAAACACTTTGCGAATATTGAGCGAAGCTGGCGAAGGTAAATTCAGCATCTGAAAGTCTGAAAGTACAAATTGGCGGAAGGCGAACATCATCGGAGCGTGGGCAGAGTGGATCAATAAGGATAGAGCAAACTGGAGCGCGCAACAGGTAGGGGCATGTCAAAACTGGGGGACCCAAAATGGTGGTGTTTCGGCTAGTTTCTTTGTAAACCACCCCAAAATAGGTACCCTCAAAAACTTATCAAATATGCAAATGAACGTATGATGTAATCATGAGACTTCCTCAGCGGTGAGCATTCGATGGTCCCCCTCCAATCCTTTAACGAATCGTCTTGCAAAAGTATGGACTCCCTTTAAACCGGGCCAAACAGATCCGACCCCTTGCAAGACTGACTGTTGTTCGCTGAAATGAAGCAAAACAATCAGGCCAACAGTTGAAGAGGTGGCAATGTGGTGGCGCCACTACCCTGGATTCGGCAAAGCTGGCGTTGCCTGGGAATCTGAGCGCCGCACTCCGCAAAGCATCGTGATATTCAATCCATTCCTGGGCAGGGTCTTTGCGGTATGAACCTTAATCGGAACTGGACCTTTTGGCGGGCATCACGCACAAGTTTGGATTTTTTGTCGCATCACTCACATCTTCGGATCTGATGTCCACCAATCAATTTGCGAGGGCAATTCCAACAATTCCAGCATCTATAGCCCTCGGATGGCAGTTTGAGCAAGCATTCCTTTTGGCGCGAAGGATGGGTTTCCCTGCCCACATCGCTGTCCTTGGAGATCTTGCTGGAGAAGGGACAAAGTATAGCCAGTATAGCCGGCAAAGCCACGGGCGGAAACTTTCATTAAAAGTACCGTTGGAAACAGGCTTCTTTCTTGTTTCTCCGTCACCTTCTCTCTCTCTCCCTCTCTCTCTCTCTCTCCCTCTCTCTCCCTCTCTCCCTCTCTCTCTCTCTCGCTCTCTCGCTCCTTCTCCTTCTCTTGCATTCATTCCGTTTCTCTGTTTCTCTCTCTCTTTCTCTTTCCCTCGCCCTCTCTCTGCAAAAGTCCGCCTGTATGCTGGAGGCGCGCCTGCCCTTTTCCACTCCCCCCCGTCGTTGCCTCAAGCGATGACAGGAACACGCGGCGACACGCGTCAAGCACAAAAGTGAGCGAGGCAAGCTGCAAGCACAAAGGCGCACGCGAAGGCTGCAGCCCGAGACAGCGCGCCTGTCGAGGTCAGCGCCTTCTTAACTTTGGCTTGGAGGAGCCATTTCCACGATGGCACGCGGCGGAACAGAAGCGGTTGAATGTATTCCTTTGCAAGAGACCCTGCCGAACGGCAACCGCTGAAAGTCCGCAACAAACACCGTGAGGCACCCTCCGAGCACCTCCGTCAGGCGTCGCGACCAAGGTGATTTTCACACATACGGAAGAGCCCAAGAGACACCTTTTGGCAAACGCTGTGCGGTTGGAAAGTACTCAATCCCCTCGTGTGAAACAGCCATGTGCGGGGTTCCCCGGTTTTGCCACGCACCTGCACCGCACCCAAGCTACCTTACAAAATGGAAATAGTGATTCCGCTGTGTAGGGGTGAGGTCCAGTGCCAGGTCAAACTGAGAACCGGGAAGCTAGATGTCCTTCAGAAACAATAGCCACTGGAAAACGAAAAAGGACCAAACTGGAAACCCTAAAGCTACCCTTTGAAATTGCATGTTGCCCCACACACTGCTGGGGTGACCTTGCTGAGTTCCCATGAAGAAGGACCCGTTTGTTGCATGCCCTTGCGTGTCCAGGTCTCATGTTCCGCAACAAAATCTGGATCATCCTCCCCCTGTTTGGGCCGTACCTGAACGCTCAGACCCTGAAAAAAAGGTTTGGACAACAGCAACATCCCCTTGAGGCTACCTTTGCCCTCATTCAGCTCAAGGCGCCCAGCTGAGGCGCAGAGGCCCCTCGAGCTTCCACTCCAACGTCTCGAAGGGCCTGCACGCCGGAAGGCCTTAGGATCCAGCCAAAAGGAGCCGAAGGCTCGGCTTTCGGCAAGGGCGAGTGTTCCTCGCGGCTTCCATTTAAACCATCCCAACAATTTGCCGAGCCTCCAAAACGTTAACCCATGCACGTCAAACACGCCAAACCGAGCAACCGAAACCAACTCCAAAAAGGTTCCAACAGATTAGAATCAGGTTGTCGGGTACTTTAAACCCATCTAAGTTGTGATTATGGGAGTGAACTATTCTACAAAAGTGCGCCACTGTTTTGCCACCCGCGGCCAAAACAAACAAAAAGAGGTTCGCTTTGAGGCGATGACCGCAATGGCAGAAGGCAGTCTCCGCCATGGACCCAGTCTGCACGTTGAAGCGCACGTGGGTGGTGGCGTAAATGGCCGGGATCCCCGGGTAAGAGGCGGAGTCCATCTCTTCCACATAACCTTGGCCCCACCGTTTTTTGATGTATTTTTCCATGGACCCCCCCATTTCATGGGGTGTCGTTTTTGTTTTTCTTTCTCCAGACCGGGACCCACAAATGGCTTCTTTGGCTTTCCATTCGGTTTTTTCAAACAAACAAAAATGAGGGGTTGGAAACCCTCAAAAACAGACACTATTGGTGTGGATGTTGGGGCCCGGGCCCACTAAAGATAGACACAACAATTTGGTGACTACAACTTTTGAGGTGGTTCCAACCGAAAGCCGGCCATACGTTCCCTTACATTGCCACCAAGAGAAACTCGCCTATAAGGTGATGTTTAACGCCAACCCAATTGGGACAAATAGATAACTTTGTGGCTTCAGCTTCCTTCTTTCTGCTTGGTGGTTTTGGAGGTGCTCGGGGTATGTGGCTTCACCCTCTAAAGGAACCATGGGTTGAAATCCCGCCACGGATTCATACAACTAAGGATTCCCTGGCTTAAAACCGCCGCAGGGCTTCAAAACAAATCATTCACCCCCTTTGGCTGGTTAAATACGGTTCCGAATTTTGACACACACCCGGTTTTGGGGTGGGGTTCCTTCGGTTTCCATTTGGGTTTTCTTTGGTCCAGCCTGTCTTGGGCCATGAGGAGTCTTTTTGCTGCTGGGCAAAGTGAGCATTAGCTTCAGAACATTTGGTTTGGGGGTGGCCAGCTCTAGGGCCCTTGGGTCTTCCTTTTGTGTTTTTTCTGGTGTCTACCACAAATAGATGGCTCTCCTTCCCCTCCCTTCTACAAATAGGACGGGCTTGTTAATTGTTTGGGTCAATGTTTGTCTCAGGACTGGCTTCCAGTGTTGGTAGAAATACTTGTTGAAACAGCGAACCCCTGTTCGAGTTGTTGTTTACGCAGCCTCCGAACGATGATAACATCAACTAGGCCAATCACCGATCCGGTTGAATTGCAGCG